CTTCGACAGGGGTTTCTCTATGGTTTTTTTTGGTAACCTACGAGAATGTTCTCATCTACTGGAATCTCATATCATGTTAATGTAGATACCAAAATATCACTTAAGAAGCTGTATGCACACTTCAGCTAATCCTATTTAATCAGTGAAACGTTGCTCAAATAGGGTCGGGGGGCAAAAAAACCCCAGAGTATCTGACCCTTAAAAAGAAATAGCATCATGGCAATGCTGGTTTTGCATGATGATTTAAAATGTAAAAATACAGTCACAGCACATGAATTTCACCATGAAGCTTTGGATTGTCCTGGAACTTGGGCTTTCTCTGTCTATCTTTTCCAACTATGAGAAAGGAAAAGTAACCTGGCTCTGGGAAATCAGTCAAATTCATATCTTTAGTTCTGGGTCTTTCAAAGATCTTAAATGGTAGAAATAATCAAAGAAAATTAAGTTTAATGTTCAGCTTTTACCATAGAGTTTTTATACATTTATAATGGAAATGTAGATAGAATAAGAATAAAAAAAATGAAAAAATATATTTGCCTTTTTAAATCAGGAATTGGTTTTATTAGAAAGTTTGCTTTCCCGCAGGTCATTTTCATTCATCTTACAAAAGAGTATTAGAAGATGAAAGCCATCTGACTATAGATTCCTGTTAAGGACTTTTGACTTGAACCTAATGTGTTTGTCCTGAACTGTCTGAAACTTCACCTGTGACTGTTTTTCGGGAAAGTTTCAACACTAATAAAAATCTCTAAATAAAAGGAAGATGGGTTTTGAGTTTTAAACTCTTCATCTAATCAGACTTGTGTCTCTGTGTTTAGATGATCAGACAGCGAGCAGTTGTCTAAGGTGAGGGGAGGAGCGGTCGGCGGGTTCAGATAGGGGGTAAGGTCCGGATAAGTCAGTGGAACGGTACAGGGCCATTGGTTTCCTGAAGCTCGCACACACACATGAAGCCCTTGCCCTCTTTCTTCCAGCCTCTTTCCAAATGTTCCGGTTCTTGCACTGAGCGGGCCAAAGAACGAGAGGTCCCATAAGGTCAGAAAAGACACTGAAGTTAGCCCAGAGCAATCTGGGCCCACAGCAACACTCACAGCATGTCCCTGATGCTGGACTAGAATACACAGCATAGGGCATAGTGGACTTAATGTGAAAACAAACTGTTCATTTACAGAATAAAAACTCACCAATACATAAAATGATTTACAGTTTTACTATTTTTTTTTCCTAACTTTGCCTAAATCTTAGTGTTCAACTTGTAAGATTTTAAAACTCCCTGAACAAGGAATGCTTCAGGTATAAGTCACCACACCTTCAAAAGTCAAACAAACCACACAGCTATTGTAATTCCCCCATATAACCGTCCTTTAGAAGGCAGCCATTTTCACTCATCTTCTGTGGACTTTTAAAACCTTAGCCTGGACACTTATTTATCAGACTAAACTAAACATTTATTAAGATTTTACTTTGTTGGTTGTTGTAATGATGATAACTCATGCTCATACCTGTTAGTCTAAAAACCTGTTTGGATTGTAAACTACATACAGAAGGACTGATCCTTTTTCCTTTTTTTTTCTCTGTAAAAGAACTCAGAGAAATTTAGGGTTGCTGAAAAAGCATTGGATAACCTTAGTGTTTAAACCTTGCCACAAGTCCTGGATTGCCTTGTGGTCTTGACTTTGACTTGGCCATCCCAAAACCTCACCAACATTACAGCTGTGCTTATAAGCTTATGGTCTTTCTCCTGTTTGAGGTACACAGAATATATGGCTCTATTAATCTTTGCATCTAGCCTGGTCAACCAGACTGACCTCTTCCATGTGTATTCAATACAGAGCTTATCAGTCTAGGCAGACTTAGACTCTCAGACATAAACTTACCAGATCAATCATAGTGAGGCAGGTAGAGTGGCAGAATTACCCATAATGCAGCAGAGCTTTTCTGTAATCATAACAGCCAAGATGGTTTCTGCTACAGCTCAATGTTTAAATAATGCTCTTTTTAATATGCTCTGAATGAACTGGATAAATAGTTAAAACCTCAACAACTGGCTTTTTTAATGATCTTCCTTTTTACAAAAGATATTTTTCCTCACATGTTTCGTCATTTGACCGGTTCTAATCTGCTTCCCGCCTTTGAGATCAGGCTCTACCTGCTGCTTTTCAAACTGATATACTGCCTTTACAGTGTGAGAGTCTGGCTGGCCTGGCTGTTAAATCTAACCATCTTTCCTGGAGGAACCTAAGCAAATACATGGACACAGCATGATGCAGCCACTACCATTTTTCACTCCAGAGGTAAGTTATTATGCAGTTTGCGCTCAGTTATTCTACAAATTGCCCCCCTTAAGCTCTGCTGCTCCCCCAGAGTTACCAAGCCCCTTAACCAACCTCTGAGGTTTTGTAACACAGCTGTATATCAACTTGGATTGAATAAAACAAAGGTTGGACCAAATGTAATTGGTTTCACTGGATTATATTTAAGGGTGTCAGAGTAAAGATTAATGAAATTCACTCCACACAAATCTCAGAAACAATGCTTTACTTTCTTTCTACCTCACATTTATTCACTGCTTTTACTTGGCATTTCACATTGCTCTAAAATGCATTACGCAGTATGGCTGCAGGTGCAACAGGTGGACTAAAAGGAAACAGGTTGACCATCCGGGGTCTGGGACCCCATCCCCTGGTTGCTCAACCTGTGTGAAACCCTGATGGATAGAGCGTGTCCCTCGCCGCACTTCACTGCACACCGGCTTCTTTCACAACAGGTGCTCTGTGCTGGATCAAAATGTTTTCTGCTGCTTGTTATTATTTGTTGTTAATGGTTGACAGATTTTAAACCGAGACATGAGAAAGTGGCAGAAAAACTTAACGCCACAGTGTGGGTTTAATTTACAGCATCAGTTATGATCAGTCACTCTATCCAATTTGCCTCCGTTACATAAAACTAAACAATGACTTTAACCCAATGTTAAAAATGTTGTCAGATAATGAATTGCTTCATTATTTAGTTATTCACAAAATTAATCAGTCTCTTGAGACCCCCAAAGCCAACCCTTGAGTTGTTATGGTATCTACAGAGATGGCAGAGCTGCAGACAGCCTGTAATTGATCTGTTTCCACTGAGTTATTAAACTTCTGCCGCTCAACACAGCAGAGCGAAGGGCACCTGAGGTGTGTGGATCATGACGGAAACATCATACAACAATATGGTAGCCGGTGATAAGCAGGCCTGTAATCTGTGTAATGACACAGCAGCTGCAGGTGAGAGAAACAACCGTGAAGTCACACAGAACAAAACGTTCCATTAATAAAACATCACTGTAATAAAACAATTAAAATTCCTCCAGATGACTTGATTCTTCCTGCTGCTGAATCCTTAAAGATGTGTTTTTTCTCTCTTACTCTTTTTCTTTTCTAAAAACATGATGGCAAATTGGGTTATTCTAAAACCTTTCTGTTGTATTTTAGCCCAGGGAATCTCATACGGTCTCTCTGCATCATTATGGCTAATAAGTATAAACTAATCCTGCATATTACTAATGATCAACCACATTGATACTACACTAAAAGACTGTCTGACCAATAAATGGCTCAGCATCTTGTTGTAAACTGTTGTTTTCACAGAGGAGGTCTACAGCTTCTGAGTTTATATTTAATGAATTTACTGAACAGGATTGATTACATTTAGAAAACATACCATATTGCCAACCAGATATTGCACAACATTGCATCACAAATTAAGTTATTTCAGATTATATATATATATATATATATATATATATATATATATATATATATATATATATATATATATATATATATATATATATACCTGCTGAATGGTTTCCTCAGCTGCAGTTGGACCTCATTCTAGTTCTCTTTAGCAGAATTATCTTTTAGCCTTATATTTTCACCCATGAGGCTTCAGCTTCATTATGTTTAATATTGTACTGAATTCTTTGATTAAATAATTACATCTTAATCATAAAAATATTTGAGATATAAGATCTGAATGTGGAAAAGCTATCACAGTTCATGATCAAATGCAACAAAATAATTGGTAATTTGATCATAATAATAATAATTATAATAAATTAAGGAATTATAATGTATAAATCAGTCTATAAAAAAACACACTCGAAAAATTACATTATTTTAAACAATGGCCACTACTAAAAAGCAAATCCTAAAAAGAAATAAAATGCAAGAGAACTTCAATATTGCAGATTTTCTTCAAAAAAGAAAACGTCAGTTTTAATGCAAGAAATAAAATCAAAGCATGCAGTTTTGTATATTTTTTATCATTAAGATGGAATTGAAAACGTACATTTTAAACACAAAATAAATCTCATTTAAGGCTCAAACAGATCTTTCCCAACTCTCTCATCGAATGACGAAATATGCAATTTATAATTATTATTTATATATATATATATATAATTACACACAAGGTGCAAAAAAAATGAAATTAAATAAATAGAAAAAAAGAAAATGTGCGCCGGCTTCTAATCTATACTGGCCTCGTTCTGCTCTTATCATTTATGATTATAAAGGCGATTGTTTTGCTGCTGAGACTGACTGGAAGATATCCTTATATTGCCTATAAATAACCCGGCGGAGGATCCTTTCTGGGTCAGTGCAAATGCATGAATGTGGAAAAATAAGGTGAAAAATTAAGGTAAATCTTCCAATAGAACAAAGGCGTTAATATCACCTAACAAGTTTGAAATAATTGAGTTTATTAAATCCAATGTGACTGATAACCATATATATCGGATGTAAGGACATGTTTATAATAAACTTTTAGTCTAAAAGTCTGAACAGTGGCCTCTTATGTGGAATAAAACCGTGAATATGCGCAGTTCGCTCTTTCTTTATGGCATAGAGGCTACAACAGGGTCCGAAGTCCATGAAAGTTTTTCTGATAAGAAGAGCCAATAAAAGCAGCAGAGCGGCAGTGTAAACACGTCTACCTCTGCCCGGAGCGGCCCTTATTCCACACATTTACATCAGCCGGCCCACTCATTACCATGTTTTATATCCTCCTGCGCGCAGAAAGCATCATGGCAAAGCGGCTCCATCCTCCCCTCCTACTGAGAAGTCATTGAACTTTCGGAGCAGGTGTCGCGCACAGAAACTCCCCCCCCAAAAATCCTGGAACTTTATTTATTTTAAACTTATTATTCGATTTTAATCAGAATTCATTTTGACCATCCCGTGCTTATGTCGTGTTTTTAATGTTCTCCAAAATGGTTTCAAAGCTGACGTCCCTGCAGCAGGAGCTCCTGAGCGCCCTGCTGGACTCAGGAGTCACCAAAGATGTTCTGATCCAGGCGCTGGACGACATGGACCCCAGCCCGCCGCCGCCGCAGGGCTTCGGGGTGAAGATGGAGAACATGTCCATGTCGCCGGATAAAATGAACGGCGCCGACTCGGACTCCAAGCCCGTCTTCCACACGCTGACCAACGGACACGTCAAGGGAAAGCTGTCCGGGGACGAGGGCTCCGAGGACGGGGACGACTACGACACACCGCCGATCCTAAAGGAGCTGCAGTCGCTGAACACGGAGGAGGCCGCGGAGCAGCGCGCGGAGGTGGACCGCATGCTGGCGTGAGTTTCCCCGCTTTTTAAAACATTATTTCTAAAAACGAATCGAAAGGAATGAAATTCAATAATAATAAAAATCTCATAGGTTAGATCTGATAGTTTTTAAACTTTAAATGTGACACAAAAACACATTTCTTTCATTGTTTACAAATTTAAATAACCGCGCCACGCTTCTTTTTTTGGTTACTAATTATCCAAATAGATTATTTCTTTACCTTTAGAAAATATCAGCTGAACTTAGATCTATTTATAATTAACTACAGCTACTCCACCTCTCAGTGATAAAAAGCCGGCAACTGGAGAAAGCAACCACTTTAAATAATAATAATAATAACAACAACAACAGTCATAATAATAATAATAAAATATTGCTCTTTTAAATTGCTCTTTAATTTTATTTTAAAAAACGAATATTATTTTAAATGTTAAAAATAGCGAATTTATCTCCAAGAACCAAAATAAAACCCCGATTCAATAAGTCTACTAATTTTATGGAAAAAAAAGAAAGAAAAGAAAAACAAACATTCGCAGTTAAAGAAAGTAATAAAATGGTAAAAATTACGTGTGCACCAGATAGCAAAAAAAAAAAAAAAAAAAAAAAAACAAGGAGTTGGATGCTTTAAAAAGCTTGATCAAATAAATGTTACTAATTTTATGGAAAAAAAAGAAAGAAAAGAAAAACAAACATTCGCAGTTAAAGAAAGTAATAAAATGGTAAAAATTACGTGTGCACCAGATAGCAAAAAAAAAAAAAAAAAGTATTAAACAAGGAGTTGGATGCTTTAAAAAGCTTGATCAAATAAATGTAACCCATTTTAAACAAATAAATCCTCAATAATCACCTCTGGCTTGTGTAATATTTGATGACATGATCCTTCTATACATAAAGTTTTACAAATGGGCATTAATTAGAATTTATTATAATATTAATAATAATCTAACTGCCAGGTAGCTGAATCCTAACTGAACTATTTGATAGATTTCATTCCTGTATTGTTTAAATTAAATATAGTTTTATAGCTATTTGAATACGAACTGGAAATGTTTGCTCTGTAAAATGCCTCTAGATGACATTTTCTCTGCTAATTACTACAACATAATAAATCTTGTTTAAAATTCACAACTAAACCACGTGTAGTTAAGTTATTATTAATTTTATTCTATAAATCATCAACTGGAAGACACACAGTGGCGTGTGATTAAAGTGAATGGAGATCTGGTTATTCATTGTCAAAAGTTATAAACTAACATCTCCCCACTTAACCCGCTACACTTTAAACGCAGGCCTCCACATTCTCCAAAACAAACAGTGGAGAGCAGATCTGCTTCATAATTGCTGATGTCCGTCTGTCTGCGGCGGTTACTGTTTGATTATGGAGTCACTGTTTTATATCTATAGAGAGAAAGAAAAAGCTGAGCTAATGCAGCTTTAATGTGAAATGCTCAAGTGTTCATCTCAGTTTTCTTATTCAATACTATAGAATACGAATTAAACTATATTATTAAGAAGTTCATTTTTGCTTCATGTTAAATCCAGAAAGCTTGACCAATATAAAGTAAATCAGAATTATTACAAAAATTATGCTTGAATTTGAAATTCATTATTAGAATTTGTTAATTTAATTAAATAGTTGTATTTAAGTTCTGTTAAAATATAGATTTAAGTGTTAAATTTTTGTATAGATATAGTACTCAGAGTCCATGTTTTTCAACCTCTGCAAATCCACTTGAACTAACCTTTGAAAATATTTACAGCCATTGGAATGTGTGCTTCAGTTATAAACTGACTCATAATGGCTACAAATCCAATCTCATGTTCCTACAAAATAAGGAAACTGGGTTTTGCAGTGCTCAGAATAGAAAAGTTTTTGCAGGTAGTTTTTTGGCTAAACAAAAGCAAAATGCTGTATTTATTTCCTGCTCTGCTTGTCTTTTACCTTCTTTTTTTTTCTTGAATGAAGTTTGTTTTTTGTTCATCAGAGAGGACCCATGGCGAGCTGCTCGTATGATCAAAGGTTATATGCAGCAACACAACATCCCCCAACGGGAAGTGGTGGACATAACGGGGCTGAACCAGTCTCACCTCTCCCAGCACCTCAACAAAGGCACGCCCATGAAAACTCAGAAGCGAGCTGCTCTCTACACCTGGTACGTCAGGAAGCAGCGGGAAATTCTTCGACGTAAGTTAATATTTGAGTTTCTCACAGCTTCGACCTTCGATACATAATATGCAGCTGACAAGCAGCGTGCAGCTTTTATTTGGGTGTACACATGTGAACTGCATTAATCCTGTTGCAGTGCAATGAGCTGGGCTGGCTGAGGTTTTACTGTCTGTGGCTAAACTCTCCATTCCTTCTTTGGTATGGGGAGGTATTACATTCTTACTGATCACTTGAAGTACTTACAAAACTGGTTACAGAAAAAGATTCACTGCAAAAACGATCTAGAAATAAGTCAAAATGTCTTAAATTAAGTGCATTTACCCTTAATTTGAGTAGATAAATAGGATTAATTGTCAATGGGTAAAGATTTTTACTCTTAAAATAAGGTAATTAGATAATATGCACTTGAAATAAGACAATTAAATAGTTTTTTTTTTCTTTTTTTAAATATAAATTGTCTAGCTCCATTTGCAAAATGTCTCACTTACCTCAATTCAAGAAAAAATGCACTTATTTTAAGAAAAAATGACTTATGTAGATTTCGATTTTTTTACAGTGTTGAAACAAGATTGAAGAACATGATTTGTTTTATTAGATAGAAAAATTATTCTTACTGCATCAAAAGAATCAGCAGCTTTAATGACACGTGGCTTTGTCAACGTTAATGAGATGGATGATTGTCCTCCTTTGGGGTTTATACCAGCCCTGGATTAGCCACCTAAACAGCAGTAACAGCAACATGTAGGGGAGGGGCAGCTCATGCTTTACCATTGAATAGAACTTATTTGGTAAAAGTGAGCAAAACACTTTAATGACTATTGCTAAGGACATCATTATTTATCTTAATAGAAACAAATAGAAAAAATACTCCTACCATGTCAGTTGTTACAAGCACATTCTTATCCATTACTCTTTTTTTACTTTAATTTAAAAGAAACAAAGCAGAGATAGAAGAAAAAAACAAAAAAACAGAGTCAGTGAAAACAGTGTGGAACCAATCAGCTATCTCTGTGACCCAAAAGCACCTTTTTATTCTTTTTAAAGTAAAGCTCTCCCATCAACCAGTTGTTGAATTTTTAACTATATAAACAGCTCTTTTGGGACATAATAAAGGGCATCAATAAAAACCTCACTCCATTGCACATGCAATCTTGACTGTTATGGTTACAGAAAAGTGTTGTTGCATATGGGCCCGCCTCCTGCTCTGTGATTGGTCAGCCCTACCAGCTCAGTCTGGCTCACCAGACTACCTCCAAACACCAAAGGCCCAGCTCATTGTGCTGTCCTTGTTTGTGGAGAAAATGTGACTGTAGTCATATTTAAATATGGAGACTAAAGTGCAAGAATGTGAAATAGAGAATGTTTGAACCTTTTTTTGCAAAAAAGAATAGCATTAGGGGATATTAGCAGGTTACTTAGCTGGACTACATACTGTCTGCAGTGTTTAATATAGCTTCCCGTCTGTAGTTTTAACCATTTCCTGACTGAATGATGCTTCTGCTTTCAATGCCATGATATACTGTCATTGTTTTTGAACCCAGAAGTATGTCTGAACAGATGGGTGTGTCTGTCATTATTAAGCTGCCATGAAATTATGAAAAGTACCGTTCAGTCGGCTAACTAACAGTGAGCAACAACAAGTGGAGAAGGCTCTGCATTTCTTTACACTCCAAACAGCTGGCAACAAAAGGCTGGTTACTGAGTCATTTTCTCCTGTTCATAATTAAAATGAGATTAAATTGTAGAAATAATATTAAAAAACATTTTGTTTTTTTACTCTTTTTAGAACACTAGTTTACACTGATAACCATCAGGCCCATTCCCACTTTGTACAGTCATGTATTAAATAAACAGCATTTTAAATTATGTTTTTAAAACATCAATACTATTTTTGCAACTATTCAAATCCCATCTTTAAGGCTGAGCTCAAATTAGGAAGTATTTAAGGCAGTAATTACATTTTTATTATCTTACACAATTAAAAAAAAAGAAAAAATATACAGTTACATTTAACAAACTACAGTTTAAAAGTGGTATTTTTGTGATTAAAACAAGATTTTAGTTAATTACATTGCAATATTTTATGTTAGTGAACTTGAGTTTTCTTTATTTAGTTGTTGGAAAAAGGTCAGACATGTGGGTTGGGATGGGGGTACAGTTTGGGAACCGCAGCTCAGGTGCATTAAAGAGATTCAAGCTTTAGATAAACACTGTTAGTACAACATCTCTAAGAATTTCCTTGGTATTGGGACAGCAGATTTTTCTTCAGACTCCTCTGATTTTCCTACTCTCTTCCTGTCCCATCTGGTTGAAATAAGGCGCCTTCACTTTTTCCTTGGTTACAGTAAAGGCAATTTAATCTCTATGAATATTTCTCGGCACATAAGGACATAGTGTCATGCTATGAAATGTAACTGCATGCCACATAATATTCTTATGAAAGTAATGCAACTTTAAAATTGCAGTCATTCTGTACAAGTAGATTGAAAGACGGTTAAAAAAGAACATCAATGCTGCTGCTAATTGGAGAGTCCTTTGTTATTTTTATAACTAAAAGTATCACCTTTGTGTAATCTGATAACGGCACCTAGATCCTGCTTCAAGTGTTGGTTTTAATTTATTTTTATACACACACAGGGCATTTTTTTGAATCTCTTATGATATCCTCATATTTTAGCATATCTAGAATGTATCTAATTTTTTAAAGGGATTTCTTGTTATTTTTGCAGAGTTTAACCAGGCAGCACAAGCTTCTGTCGGCAGTTTGTCTGACAAAGGCAGCCAGGATCCAGCCTTTTTCTACCCTGAGTACAACACGTCGGGTCCGGGCATGGGTCAGTCTAACGAGGAGGTCGGCAGTGAGCCCCTTAGTAAAAAGATGAGGCGGAACCGTTTCAAATGGGGTCCTGCGTCCCAGCAAATCCTGTACCAGGCCTACGAGCGGCAGAAAAATCCCAGCAAGGAAGAGAGGGAGGCTCTGGTGGAGGAGTGCAACAGGTAGAACAAAAACACAACTACTGGGACTCTGCAACAACTGCTGCACAGTTTTAATATCATCTACCTCTTCCCTTTTAATGCAGAGCTGAGTGTCTTCAGAGAGGTGTCTCCCCCTCCAAAGCTCAAGGACTCGGCTCTAATCTGGTCACCGAAGTGAGAGTTTATAACTGGTTTGCCAACAGACGCAAGGAGGAAGCTTTCAGGCAAAAGTTGGCCATGGATGCCATCCATGCCCCCTCGCACGGCATCAACCCTCTGCTGTCGCACAGCTCACCTCATCATCCCCAGACCAGCGCTTCACCTCCAAGTAAGAGACAGAATCCTCTACTTATTCACTGAATGCAATAAACCAGCTTAAAGTCACGCATGACTGTAAAGTTGGAGGAAAAAACAGTTCTCAAAAGTTTTGCAAATAAACATGCCTTGCATGTGTGTTTTTTTATCATACCCCTTCAAGGAAAACCTGTGACATCAGTTGTGTCAAGCCCTTAAAGTTTTCTTTGAACATCTTTGTAAAGAAACATCATCATTGGGACTAATTATCACAGCAAAAATGTCAGGGATACATTTAAAATAAGCAGTCAGGAGTATCTCTGATATGATTTCCAACAAAGTTAAAAAACAAACCACTGGACTTTGTTTTCCAAGTTTGGACATTTTTCGCTTTCTGGATGGGAATCGAATGGAAGCAAAACGTCTTCAAACTTGGAAAACAAAGTCCAGTGGTTTGTTTTTTTTTTTTACTTTTTTTTTTAACTTTGTTGGAATTCCCATGACCTGGATGACTGAAAATCTTCACCAGCACATTTCTGATAGGAGTATCAACTGATTACAAATTGGCTTATTTCAAAAAGCAGCAAGAAGAAAATTATAAGAATGCTAGATTAAGCAGATTAAGGAAGGGGCTTTCCTCAGATAAGACCAACTATAGGAAAACTGTAGGAAAACAAACTCTGCACATCATCCTGAACACACAACCGCCACTGTGACACCAGCATGGTGGAGGCAGCATCATGCTTTGGGGATGCTCTCTTTCAGTTGGAATCATGAAGTCAATGCTTGATGAAGTTAAATACAGACAGTTTTTCAAACCTGTTAAGAGTCTGCACATGACAAGACAGAGTGAGAAAAATCACCTTTTTTCTTACAGTTCAGTTGATTTAGCACAAGATTCATCAAAGTTGGTAATCATAAACTGAATGCTCTGCATTCATCCACATGCCATTTTGGTTTCAGTTTCCCTTAGAGTGAAACTATGTCAGAAAAAAAGGTTCCTGAGGTAGAATTGATGTGATCAGAGAGGCAGAGAAAGAGAGGCCTGGATGATCAATGAGTGTGAGTGAGTGAGCTGAGCAAATGCCATTGTTATTCTGATCTTTGAAAACACACTGAGAACAATCCACATTGTACCTGCAATCTCCACTCCAAAGTGAGCATGGAGAGGCATGACACAAAGGGCAACAATCCTGTGACAGGCCAGGGTCAGGCCAGGGTCAGGCAGGAGTGGGTAAGGGAGGGGTGGACGAACATATCCAGAACACCTCGACGTATTTTCCTGGTTTCCAAAGTTTCTCCCTTTCCTCAAAGGTTGCTAATTAGAGTTCCCTAAACGGGAAGATGCTGCCTGTCCATTTCACCCGCTCTGACCATTTCACCCTAACCTGGTGTTTGCATTCGGAGTAATTAGTATTGACCCAGTCCAGCTTTACGGTATAAAACTACTCTGATAGGGCCGCACAGAGCTTTAAGCTAGCGCACCATCACTCAACCTCCATAAAAGTGCGATTTGAGAGATGCACTCAGAGCCCATTGTTGTCCCCTCATGTTCGAACACGAGGCCACCTTTGAAGGGAAAACAAACTGTTTGCCTTGGCTTGCTCTTTTACCTTTGGATAAACTGGTCCCACTTGTGGATTGTCTGTTTGCGCTAGGCTTTTTTTTTTTTTCTTGTTGTGGCTCACCTGAACACCTGACCAGGCAATGACCTCAGGCTGCGGCGCAGTGGAAGGGGTCTGTACAGCAGAAGGGGAAAGGTTGGCGTAAGATACACACATCCCAAAAAAAAGAAAAAGAGTCTCAGCTGGCTGCTTACAAGGCGTCCCGCTGGCATCCTGCCGACAGCATCAGCTGTTTTTCAGCGTCAGCTCTGAACTGACAATAACATCCCAGCAGGTCGCCTCATTGCGTTGCCAGGGCATGGCCTGTATTATGCATGCTTAATGGACAATTAAAATCCTTTGCTGCTGCATCTCCCAGGCCTTTGATAAGGGGCTCCTTGACTTCAACTCTCTATGCTCGGCCTCAGCAGGTGCTTCCATTGTGTTTGGTGTATTAGAGGACTGCAGTGACTGTAACACAGGTTCATTTGTCTCAGCCGGGCCTCCCCCAGCATAGCTGTTGAGGCTAGCCCCAGACTCTGAGCAGCAGGAGCTGTCCAAGGAGGTATTGGCTCCTTTCTGGCCAGACAGGACTGATCACCGCTTCTTCTTTGCCAGTGGAGAAAGCAAGCCCCCCACCACCACCAGCTCCACCACTCCTATACAGCCTGCTCACCTTCAGTTATACGTGAGAGGTCACTCCTGGGTCATTTCAAGCATACTCATCTGACTCTGGGAGTTTTTATTGATTCTGCTTTGCTCCACTGATCAGTCAGTCACAATTGGATGGACGGTCAAACAGTGTGACTCGTAATTTTACTGGTGTGCTTTTATTTTTTTCTATCGTAGCGACTGAAGTTCGGGACAGTTTTGCTATTATTTAGATTACTTGTTTGATTTCCAGATAACATCTAAGGTTTGAATCATTTTTATTTTTCTAATTTTGCTTATATTAGTCAGATTTTCATATGTGTTCATCTGGGAGGCTATGAAGTTATCAGCCAACATTTCAACTCTACCCTTCCAGAAAGTGTACAGAGGTCACAAACAGTCTCTTAAACCACTTCTAAGGAAACCAAAGATTATTTAGTCCTAAGCAGTTTTCCACCAAATTCGTGCACCAAAGGAAGAGCGCAGGTCAGCGCCGTCACCATTTGCTCTACTTGACATGCAGTGATTCCCAGCTCCCAGTTTGGATTTTTCACACCTGTTAGGTCCCCTTAGTTTCCTTTTTTTTTTTCTGTCTATTTGTTCTTGGGGGGGAAAAATAACTCTAAGGCTAGTGAAAAAAATTAATGCAAAGTAAATTTTCCAGGTATAAAAAACAGCTTTTCCACCACCTTACATTTATTTTTTCATTCATAAATCCTTTTTGTTTTTTTTTACCTTCGGGATGATTTATACCCGGTGGGTCCCCTTTGGAAGATTTAAATTGAAAATGTAGGCTTATTTGTTGTGTCCTCAAAAAAAAAAAAAAAAAAACAACCTAAAGGAAAGTAGGAATTGATGAGAGGTCCATTTTTGTGTATGGGAAGATTTTTTCTCTCCGGTTCTCCTTGCCATCATTTCACAAGCTGGATGCATTGTGTAATTCCCTGTGCTCTTGAGGACATTATTTGGGTCCATTAAGTAAAAGCATCTTGATAGAAAGTATTTGTTAATGTTTGTTCCTGTTCTGAGTATGAAAAAGCTGTAAGCATTCTATTTTACAGTCATGGAATCAGTTAGTTCTTGCCTTTGAATTGTTTCATAGCTGTCGGTTCCTCTTAAGACCATTTTGTTTGTGTTGGGTTTGAAATAGGGCTGAGCAATTTTACCAAAAATCAAAGTTGCAGTTATTTTCAACCAATACTGTGATTGTAATTCTATGCAAATTCCCCTCTGTATTAACCACAAGCAGGTAGATATTTCCCTCCAGGGTTTCAATGTTTTCATGACCTTGAAAACTTGCATGTCCAGAGTCGTTGTTGAACGACTTTCACCATTGTGTGAGAAAGTGCTTACTTCCACTGCCACACATGAACCGATGTTCTACCTGCAGCTCTCGCTTCCCTTCTTTGTGGGGGGGAAATGGACTTTAAGAGTAGTACTGCCACCTAAAGGGCTGGAGGGAGAAAGTCAGTGTCTTAAGTCAGTGACTTGTTATATGTAACATGGTCAAAATGGACTGTCTCTGTGATTGAAAATCATGTTTTGTTAAAATTGTATTGCAAATGTAATTCATTTTCCAGGCATCGTTTGGAATATCCTCTTCCCCAACCATAATCAGTGTATTCCTTACCATAACCTTAACTTAAATTTAATTTGCACCATACCTTTAAACTAATGCTCTAAGTTTAAAAATGGGGTCCACCACAGTAGGACCATCCTACGGTCCCCTGTTTGTCCTCAGAAGGTTAGTAATTATACCAGAAATAGTCCTAAGTAGGTCACAGAAACAAGTACACACAGATCCACACATATATGTATGGACCACAGAGGAGTGGGTGGCCTAGTGGTTAGGGCATAGAGCCCCACTCCAACAGACTGCTCCTGCTCTGCCGCACAATGGCAGCCCACTGCTCCCCAAGGGGAAGGTTTAAATGCAGAGAGTGAATTTTGTTGCTCTGTACTTGTGACAGTGTAATGACAATAAAAGCTAGGATAAATCTTTGAAAGTTTATGATTTGGTCGCATGTTCTAAGGTGGTTTACGGCTTTTGTTTTAAGTCTCACTGTCTCATTTTCGGTTGTGATTTCATCATGAAACTAAAGCTGTGCTCTGGAAAATTAATGTATTGTTTAGCTTGCTAGAAAACCAGCAGACTCAGAAGTTCCAGATCAGTTACAGTAGTGAGTGAGTGAGTGGGGGACATTATATGTGGGCTGCAAAGGTTTTGCTTTCACCTCAGGCTAGCTGAAAACACAGATGCACACTCAGGAAAGATTGCCCAGCTCTGCACTTTCCTCTGCCTGCTCTCCCAGAGAGCCACAAAGAGGAGCCCGGATATGTCCTGCAAAGACCCAGGTGGTCTGTCGTATGCGGCGACTCTTCAATGGCCACTGCCTGGGGTTGGGGAGGCAGGCTTTGATATTACACAGGTCCCACAGAGAGCGTGGGCCTTTTAAACCTGCCAAAGACCCTTAGCTGACACTCCCCTGCAAAGATTCTCGCCCGCCTCTTGCTCTCAAAGAGCAAGCTGTAGTTGTTGGGTTTTTTTTTGTTGTTCTTTTTTCAACCTCCACAAAGGCAAATTTCAGCTTTCATTTAACCCTCACAGATGCTCAGTGCCTTCAAAATAGGTCTAGCATTTTTAGAAAACTACCAACTTTTAATTTAACTTGAGAAAACTGTGCTAACTCAATCTGAGGTTCCCTGCTGCTTCAATTCCTGCCAAATCCAAAGAACCAAAGCTGCCCTGAATAGCATCCTTTACTCCCTCTGGAACTTAAAGAGGTCGCCCAGCACAGAGATAACTGACTTTTTATGAGTCCTCCTCCATTGTGTCGCAATGGGGGTCATGAGTCCAATGGACTGCTTTATTGTTCTGCGGCGGTGTTTACAAGGCACAGCGGGCTGTTGTAGGGGTTGATAGTGTGTCTCTGGAGACAATATGAAGTCTGTCGCCTAAACAAAATGGAGGACATGTACTTCAGGCTGTGAAATATGGAGCTGTAGCTTTGCCATATCTATAGTCAAATTAACAGCTGGACATTAACAATGAGAAGCTTGGTATTAATGTGTTTACTTTTACTCTGATAGTGAAATGAAATGTTCGATGCCCTCATTACCATTTTCCTTTTTAATAAGAAAGAGATTCAGGATTTAACATGAAGGCCTAAAGCAGGAAGGATCTTAGCTATCTCAAACTGCACTAGATTTACCAGTTTTAATCGGCTGAAGCTGTCCTAAATTCGACAGAAAGGATTTAATTAATCATAGAAAAGTAAAGCTAATGTTTAGTCTCTGTTTGCATTAATGTAAAAGAATGAAGTTGTTTTCTTTTTTTATTTTTCCCCCCAACCTTACATTCATATTATATTGTTTTTTTGGCTCCAGAGAGAAATTGTACCAAATGCCATTTATTCAAGCTTTCTATTTCCGCTTTGTTCAGGCTTGTAGTTCATGACGGTTACATTTATTTTCATAAGAGCAATTGAGAGAGTCGTCATAAAAAAACAAACAAGGGAACCAAACGATGCAGGAGAGGTTGACGTTGACGCCTGCTTGCCAAACTTCAACATTAATCACAACCCATTGTGCACTCTAGCTTTAAGTCTTCAGCTTGATTTGTTGTTAATAAACTGAAGATTTATTTAAGAGGTTTCTCCAGTGAGGATAAGGAAGAACCGAGAAAGATTGTCTAACAAACCATCATCCTGCTTAAGAATTTGAAAGCTCTGTTTTAAGCTCCCTCTGCCTGAAATAAAAAGAAACAATGACTTTTAACAAAAAATAAATTTTTTGCTAAAAAACTAAAATTCTGGAAGCATGTAGACAGACGGACATCAGGCCGCTACACCAAGTGGAGTACATCCTGTTCCAGTTTCCAGCAGCATTCATTAGGAAATCAATGCCTCCCTCATTGCTCACCTTTCCTTGTCAGCGCCTCTCCCTGTTTTCTATTCTATCTCAAAACCGGCTGTATATCAATATACCTGCTGTCATGTCAGACCGACTTTGGCTGGACGATGCAGCTGTCACACCTGGGTCAGGGACGGGGGGGCATCTGAGTGCAAACAGAGTCTGTCTCTGGATTGTCACTGAGGGAGGGGACGCTCTACCTGTCCGTGTGAGACTGAGACCACAGGATAAGAATGTGTTTGACATTGCTTGTAATTGTGTAATGTTTACTCTGTTGGTATCAGAGGGGGCCTGCATCAGCAAACAGGCATTAGATTGTCAGTTCTGTGTGTGTGTCGGTGTGTGTGTGTGTGTGTGTGTGTTGGGGGGTGCAGAGGGGTTGGCATTGCATTCTTTGGAGACACAACTAGAATTCCGGTTTTGGATTTATTGATGGTGTTACACTAATCCACCCCTTAAAAAATTGTATGAAATAAATTCTACTTTTTTTCTTCTATTTTGCTGTAATAACCCCAACCTCTTAAAGGCAAAACTTGTAAAGGTTTATAATCATCAAAACTTTTCCAAGTTTTGGCAATTAAACATTTTTTTGTTATTTTTTATGAGGTCACCTTAGTAAAATCTTATTTTGCTGTAAAACTTCTCTACCAACCGTGTCCAGACTAAAAATGTTGCTCAATACTGTGATGCAAATGAAATCAAGCTCGGTTAGCCTATGATTCTACTTTGTTCTGATCCACTTCAATCTGTGCAGGCTTGGCTCTATATTCAGGGTCATTGTCCCGTGGGAAGGTGAACCTCTGTCCCACTGTTTTTTTCCTGCAGCCTCTTACAGTCTTCTTTTTCCCGGATTACATCATAATTCAGCATGATTTGTCTTTTCATACACCACCTCTGCTTTCCTATGTTCTAAAGGCATGATACGATCTTCACCTTGTTAAACTGTGTGCACGGAGTGATCAGGTCTGTGTGTTAGTCTCTAACTTATAGAGGGTCTTTTTTAAAGGTCAGAAGGGTTCATATGATCAGGATGAATTTTTTTGACATTATCGTGGTCTCAGCATGACTTGTAAAACATTGAAAATCCAACTGGATGAATTTTTTCCAACAATGTCATCCTTTCTTTTACGAAACCCAGAATGGAGAAATGCATCAATTAATAGTTGCCATAGCAACACCTTTTTGAACTTTACTCTCATGGATGCTCCTCCAGAGTCATCCCTGTCCTGTGTTTCTTGCTCTACATGATGCCGCTTATTCCCTAATGTTTCCCGTAACATCTCTAAGGCCTGTTAAGAAAACCTGAAATTAAATTACGCACGTTTGGAAGGGGAGGTCTTTCCTCATTTGGAAGACTCCTGCAAGCAATTAATCGTTTAGCGAATTGGAGCAAATACGAAAGGATGTCATTCGATTATGTCTTATTGCACCCAATAAAACAAATTTTTATATGTTTTGGGTTTTTATATTGACAAAAATGTGAAAAACAAAAACCTCCAAACTTTAAGGTGAATGTCAGTATTTCCACCACCGCTGGTGCACCTTCGCGCTGACGTAATGAGGCACGTCGTCAGCAGCATTTGTGTGCTTATCAGAAAGTCTGATGGAAGTTGTGCTCTTGGAAGTGCGTGCACACAGAGAATGGCCTTGGCTGAGCTGCGCAGATAGCAGTAGTGGACAGGTCAGTGAGAGAGTGTGTTTGTTTGCTTTGACTCCCCATCGGAGTCAAAGAGCAGCAGAACCTGGCTGTGGGTCTAAACCTGTGTCCTTAATCACATGATCAGTGCATCATGCAAGTTACCTGATGGGTGTCTTTTTCTCTCTTGGTCAGTGCGTTACAGCCAAGGGCCTGGCGAAGTGTCCTCCTCCACCGCCATCAGTCACCACAGCAACAACAGCCAGTCGGTGCTACAGCAGGTGTCTCCGGGAGGACTGGACCACAGCCACAGCCTGCTCTCACCTGATGCCAAGATGGTGAGTAATCATACCTGGACCTCAGTGGTCTTAAATTAGATAAGACATGGCGTAGATTTAGCATAAACCCCTTAACGGCTTCTCTTATGGAGCCTCTACCAACAATCGGCACATTGTGCAGCTCTGTTTGAGCTCAGATGGGCGGCTGTGTTTTAGCAGACAGCCTTCACCCGAGCAGGCAGGCATGTCCATCGCTATGCCAACAAACCTCACAATGAAGCCGTCTGTTCTTATTGATTAAATGCTATTTTATAAAGAGGAGCTGAAGGTGCCAGAATGACGCCACTATTCCATCATGTCCCTCAGTCTTGTTGGATCTCTAGTTCTTTAACCCTTTATAGGGCAAGTTACTGTTTTTGATAATTTGAATTCCCCTTAGAAATGGAGCCCCCCTGTCCCTCTGTGAGGTCTAGAAGCATAAGATATATATCCAGCCATTAAGCAAAGATAGCATTACTTGGCTATGCATTTTGTTTTGGCATTTGAGCAATTAGACGAGTCCTTAAATGATATATTTCCTACTGTAAATTAAGTTGGAAAAAAGAATAACAGGTTAAGAAAAAAAGGCAAAAAGCTAATTGAAAAGTTAGAAAGTAAAGCTAAAGGGTTAATAAGCCTCTAAGGTTATGTTATTCCTAAAAAAAATCGTTTCTTTCACTCTCAGAGTGTTTTTCATGAATTTCTTATAGAAGCACTTTTGTTATTTTTCGTAATATATTTGGGCAAGATGGCATTTCTTGTTATTACATTGGCATTAATTTTTGCCATCAAAATATCCATATTTTTTAATGTTACAAAGATAATAAGGCCTTGTCCTGGATTCAAATAACACACTACAAAAATGATCTAAAAATTAGTGAAATGTCTTAAAATACGTGTATTTACCCTTAATTTGAGTAGGTAAATAAGAAAATCTCCCAGTGGAAGGATCATTTTTATCCTTAATATAAAATTATTTGATATTATGCACTTAAAATAGGAGACTGCACTTTTTCCCTTATTTTAAATGTAAATTTTCTTATTCCATTTGCAAAGTGTCTCACTTACCTGCTCAATTAAAGAAAAAATGCACTTATTTTAAGAGAAAATTACTTAACTTAGATATTTAAAGTCTTTCACTGAGTGCCCTACTGTATAAATGGTAAACCTTCTCAATGCCATGGCTTTTTAATCACATCTATTCAAAGAAAAGACATTTGAAACCATCTCTATCATAAATAAACTTTGTTCATTGGGAGCTGCACTTTCTTGTAAATCTTTTCCAGCAGTTTCTTTAAATATAGGCTGCTTCCTTCCGAGAGTGTTTTTAACAATGAAAAGACTGGTGCCTTATAAACAATATCTGAGAGTATGAGATGTTATCCTCAATTTTCAGGTGGTTTTGCTAAGTTTACCAGTCAGACTAGCTGCTTCAGCGCTTTTACTTTAATATGAGTAAAGGTGGTCATTCCTTTACTTTCTACACCATGATTGTTGATGTTTTAAACAACCAGTAATATTACTGAATAACTTCATTTACTGCTTTGCAAGCCAGAGAAAAGAATTACAGCTTTTTGAATTCTTGATGTGTCCTAAATTATATCTATTATTCTGATCGAAAAAAAAAAATCCAAAAAACTCTTTTGTTTCAACAAAGTAGAAATAAATGATAGAGGAGGGCTTTTGGAATTTGATGGAGGGAAAACTCAATGCTAATTCAGTCACTCCTGCACTTCATGTCATCTCCTTTGGAGGACTTTAAGCCACTGGGTAAATCCGATGGAAATATATAAGGCATCTGGATGCACCTTAAAGTGTCATGATATTGGAAAGTATCCCAAATCAGTCCTGAAGAAAGATTAAAAATCTGAGAGATACGTCATCCTTTATTTTTGGGTTATATTCACACCAAAGTGCTGATTTATAGTCTCACATGGATTATTTGTGTTTTCTACAAAAATCTTTCATAAAGGGAATGAATAGTGTTTTAGTGACAGACCTTAAGTTCAACTAAAACTGAACCCTCAGCTGTCAAAACGAAGATATTTATTTAATTCTTAAGTAATGCAGCCATTCATTGCTTGAATAATTCATGTGTTGGCATCTGGTGGCTTAACTAATCTGTCATTTTCACGTATTGAATAAAAAAAAAATCTCTGCATGTCTAAAGAATGTTTGAAAGATATTTATTAGATACCGGTAAGTAAAACAATTTCAACCTTCACAGCCAAACATTTATCTGAACCATTAAATCGTTGGGCTCTGTTTGAACTCATCTAACTTCCCTGTCAGGACACTTCCGCCTTTCTTAGTGGTTTTATGTGAAATGAGGTCTGCCATTGTAATGCTACGTTTCTTTTTCTTAGTTTTTTTTTTTAGCCTCCGTATTCAAATGAGGATCCAATTAGCTCTTATTATGAACCCACTGTAGCTGTTTAAACCGTTTGCGACTCAACAACTGACTCCTTTTATGTCTTTCATGTTTCTTCTAATTCTCCTTTCCTTTCATGTTATCGTGGTGTGTTACAGTATGTACGTTACACACAAGGGAAATGTTAGACAAAAGAATCTGAACTGAGTCAACATTTGGGTCTGCTGTTTGTTTAGCAGGCAACATCTGTTTCACTTTGGACATGAATTTACACAGTAGATACCCTGCCTTTCATAACTCAGTGCTATATTCAGCTGCAAGTAAATAACACAGCAATAAAGTTTTGCTTTATTTCCCCTGTCTTCCTCTCTAGATTTCAGGCTCAGGTGGAGGACTTCCTCCAGTCAGCACACTGACAAACATCCACAGTTCCCATCACAGCCACCAGCAGACACAGAACCTAATTATGCCTCTGTCTGGAGTCATGGCTATAGCACAGAGTAAGTCTGATTGGACCTCCATAGAAACACTGGTTTGGTCTATGGGTTCCTCCCTTTAAGTAACATGTTGGTGTGGTTCTTTCAGGTTTAAATACGTCACAGTCTCAGACGGTGCCAGTGATCAACAGCGTGGCAGGGAGTCTCGCAGCTCTCCAGCCGGTGCAGTTTTCCCAGCAGCTCCACAGCCCCCACCAGCAGAGCTTGATGCAGCAATCTCCCAGCCACATGAGCCAGCAGCCGTTCATGGCCACAGTTTCACACTCACACAGTAAGTAAATCTACTTTCCTCCTGTTTAATGCCATCCATCCATCCATCCATCCATCCATCCATCCATCCATCCATCCATCCATCCATCCATCCATCCATCCATCCATC